ATGATGTGTTGCGATATCTAAATATTGCCAAAATATATGATGGCCATAAGTATGATACACTTATGTAACGTATTACAGATGAAATGTTTTCATCGACAAATGAGCTTGGTGACATAAAATCAAATATGTAGACATATAAGTCCACCATGTTCCGTTATACAAGCCTACGAACTGAAAGAAGCGGCAATAAAACCATGATGTGTTGCCAACACATCCTAACATTTGAAAAGTATCTAATGGGGTATTTTATGAAAGCATTCGTTTGAAGCTTTAAGCCAAAGATGCACTTGAAAGAGTGCATTACCGACGTAATAATAATCTCAAGTGCACACAAGTTGAAGAAGCGGCAGTAAATTCTTGATGTGTTGCACCGTCAAATACATTTATAAACAGTATTATGTATTCAACTAAAGCGTTGGGATAGAATATTGCAGCAAATCCACTTTGGAAACGATCTGAACAGCTTAACCAGCAGACAGAAGAAGCAGACATAAAATCACCTATGTATTCAAACATTTCCAAACAAATCCAAACAAATCCAAACATTTCCAAACATTTCCAAACATTTCCAAGCTTGGAAATATGACCTTTCCAAATTTTGGAATGGTCATATTTCCAATTGGAATGACGGTATTTCCAAGTTTTGGAAATGTTGGAATGGATGATATTTTGTCCAGTGCTACCACTAGACCACGGAGGCGGTCTGCTGCTATACTATACTTTACACATATACTAAACTGTGGTAGGGAGACCGGGACCAAGGCTATTACATACGCCCGGCTTACCATCAACTCATCAAAGACCCAAATCAGTCATAATCCCGTTGTTTATATTACTGGCGTCACCGATAATTGTCTTTACTACCCTTGTGTGTACATAACAGGCTTCTCCAGCCAGTATAACTACATCTGATATCGCCTCTACTGTATAAACATTGCCTCCTACCTGTATGTATACTTGTCAACCATACTCTGTATATCAATTGCTTGATAACGGTGTTAGAATCTACACCGAAACGTCGCTCAAAGGAGAAGGAAGATCAGAAGGCGTCAAATACAGGTCACAGGCTTGGCAGGCTTAGGACCCACCAAATCAGGCAGTTGTTTTATTATAAGAACAGCACATTCATGCCCAAAACCACACACACACCTCTACACACACACCTGATATAACATCACATTGTCGGTCCCTGATGTGACTAATTGTCACTTCAGAACGACTTTTCGGGAACTTTGACAGACAATTAGAAAGCAGCTTTCTCGAGCTTTACGGCACTCGTTTCAACCTGGCGACTTCAATTTCAGACTACGCTTGAAAAATATTTTGACACGGTTCTTGATTAAAATTCTGAGAACTGAACAAACGAACATTCCGGAATGTCTAATATATGGCTGCGATTGTATGGCAGTGCTTCCCACTTACTGTACAACGCCTCCTCCGTTCGGAAGCGAGAGATATTTTTGACGGAATCAGTCGTACGGGCAGTAACTGTAAGCGACGCTTTGATTGGTCGTATGAAAGGTCGTTCTGACGTGACCCGTAATGGGATGTCCTCAGCTCTTTCTTTAGCATCCGCGTGAGTAAGGTTTTACGCCGCTTTTAGCAATTTTCCAGCCATATCACGGCGGGGGACACGAGAAATGGGCTTCACACATTGTACCCATGTCGGGAATCGAACCCGGGTCTTCGGCGTGACGAGCAAACGCTTTAACCACTAGGCTACCCGACCGCCCCCCTTTGTTTAGCGATAGCGACAACTAAGAGCTGATTTTAATGAGATTGCTCTTCATTTCAGTTGATTTTATCCTGTGTTTGATTTTCAGTTGAAAATATCTTAAGTAAGCGGCACCTTTTCTAAAACAAATAACTGTAATGGCGCTTAGTCAGCACTTAAAGAATACTTCTACGTGTATTTTTCAAATATAATTTGAATTACTTTTACAAATGAAAAAAAAAATTAACCTTTGAAAAATCAATACATAAGCTTTTTTGGCACAAGTTTATAACATTTCAGACATAGTAGGGGGCATAAAGTTGCAAATTCATTTCTTACCCCAGTCATAAAGGAACCAATCGATTTTTACACACACTGACCCAGAGACAGACTTTTGCAGGAATGAGTAAGACTGAAAAGACATAATCAAATTTAACAACAGTTCTTTCAATTTTTAATTGCATAAAAAACAAACTCGGTATACATGCTTCTTTTGTCCTTCCGTTTATATTTCATAACACTGCATGGACGTCGATTTTGTGCTGGTGAAACCATAAATTTAGTAACATTCTACATCAATCAGAGACCGCCTCAGTGGTCTGGTGCTAGAGAGCTTGGCGTCGGTGCGGAAAAGATGGTGCACGTTAAAGATCTTACCCTGCATGGCGCTCGGCATTAAGGGGCTTAAACAAGGACTGGTCGGCTCGGAGACTGTAAACTGTGTCGGAGTGGGGTATCCATGCAGCATGGTATCTCACTGGGCTAGCACTATGTAATCGGCATTAGTCCGGACTAGTACAAGTAGCCACACACACACACACGAACTTCAGTTTCCCTTAAGTTGCCGTATACCAAATGTATTACCAAATTTATGTTAACCAAAAAATAGCTCTTTATAAAATAGGCCATCACGTTATACACACTATAGGTTAAGAGATTCGCCGGTATGGAGCTTACAGTGAACGCACTATCCATAGCCTCGCCGGCGAGGTATTAAATAAGTAGAGGAATAAGCCAAGCCATCTCCCATGCAATTCCGTATTTTGACTTGTACTATTGTTCCCGTATGTGTGTTGTTGTTGTTGTTTTTCAGGTAAATAATTGACTTGCCTTTGCAAGTGTTTGTAACGTGTGCCACCGGTGGGGCTCATGATATAGTCGGAATGTACAGTGGACTCTGCTTTTAATCGAGATTTCATATTATTATGGAAATTATTTTTGTCGCTTTATTTATATTCAAGCACTTGCGACGATTTTGCAGTCATCAACACATGTCCGCACACATGTATGTGACACCTCTTGGTCACCCCCTCCGTAAGCAGTCAGCGTTACTCAACGTAAACGGACACTTCCGAATGGATATTATTAAGGCCGAGCAATGATGTCACCGTCACCTACATAAGGTATGGATATTATTTCACACGGGAAAACTGTATCGTTTTTTACATTACTTTAAAAAGGCAAACTATGTAACAAAACCCACTATACAAAATATTAATATCTTATCTCCGCACGTACATTATGTTACACTGACACACGAATGCCTGGTTTGACAGAGGGACAACATAAGGTCAAAGGTTGAAGTTATTAAAGTTCACCAAACATCATTATTAGTACACGCGTTCACACAATTTCGTTCTACGAACTAATTGACTTGGCCGTTTTGAGCGTATGGCTGGACCGTTCACAAAAACAAATTGCTGATAACATATCCTACATTTTCTCGACGGTTTGCTGATCTTAATTCAAAATAAATGCAGTTCAACAGGCACTTTCTGTTTAATATCGATAGATAAGAATTTAATTTTTAAAAATGATAATCAACCAGTGTTAGGTATTTTTTTCCATTCTCAGCTCGGAACTCGAAATACTGTTAAGTATCAAATTGAATAAAATATATTTTTTAAGTGATTTCTGAAAAGAATTGTAATATTGTAAAAGATCCGTTTCATAATTGTTTTTTGTGCATGCATCGAAGCATAACAGTCAAATATTGTATAAATTGATAAGTTATCGCCACGTCATACACGACATACATGCTCTCCAAAGTAGCTTCAACTCTAGTTTCTTCAAATGATAACTGTCCCAACACAAGACGTGGAGTATCCGTCGCCACATTTCCAAATTCAGACTGTAACACTTTAGCCCCCCCCCCCCCCCCACCATGTCCCAGCAGCCCGTCTCCAGCAGTATAGTAAACAAGTATGTTTCTCAATCACTTTCTGCTTCCCATGGCACTTTGACTAATTCCAATTTTAAAAACTTTCTATTCTCAGTTTACATGACCCACGCTTGAATTATGACGTCATCCGCTGCTGCAATGCTCACTGTCAATGCCATATGGCATGACGTCATTAAGTCCCTTCCGAAAACAAATAGTTTTGTAGTTTTTCTCACTCAGGTATAACATAAAACCTTTCAACAAACCTAATAATTAGAGTGAATAATTATTTAAGATAATAGTCGATTTCATAATCATAAGAACAAATTTTCATTATTGTGCAAGCATCGAAGTATAACAGTCACTATATGTTTGCATAAAAATGCTTCGCTGCGCTACTCGGTTGTATACATTTAGTGACTGTTACAATTCGACGCATGCACAAAAACGTGTAAAACAATTCTTAAGTAAAATGTTGAGTAAAACAACAGCATTTACTGCCGATGTCAATATGAATAACTTATTTAAAATACTCTAATTAAGAAAATATATTATCATTAACAACTGTCAAACTGTCAAAGCTCAAGAAAACATATTTGAAATTGGAATGTAATTTTATTTGCTGGACCTACGTATATATACCAACCTGAATTTGTTGGCTTAGCATCTGTAAAAAATCACCTACTTCTTGTCTCTTAGCACTTGGATCACGTTAGCTATTTTAGGAAAGCCTGTGGCGTATATGTCCTCGATAAACCGGAACGAATGTTTTTACGTTGTTACGGAAGTTTTAATTTGTTTTCGGGTAATGAATTTCTGATACTGATACATTACGAAAACTTATGACCAGGTCACTCGACACATATTCTTTCCAAGGTCACATGCCTGAAAGAATCGATCTTGAAATTTAACGGCCTACTTGCAAATATACTGTATGATCCTTAATCGATAGTGGTCAGTCCTACGCCTGCATCATCAGTGGTCCAGATAACACACGAACATTCTCCTTTCAATGTTGCTTTTGTATTTTATCCACTAAAACAAGACCATGTGTGTTATCTGGGAACACGGAATATTTATTTAGTGGTCCTCTTCAAAGAGCAATTTTAGTAGTTACCTCCCTTGGCGGAAATGTAAACTGGCTGTCACGTGAAGCTCAATAATAGTGGCAAATTTGAAAAGAAGCTGCTGTTAGTTTGTGTTCAAGTGGAAAACGAAGTGTTTGTCACATGTAAGCATCACTGGTTAATATACATGTGGCATTTTCCTTTGCTTTCATTTGAAAAGTGAACGTTGTACACATGTACGACTGGACACACAACACCATGGACGCTGACTATTTGTGTTCATGCCGAAACTAAATATCCTCGTGTTATGGGTTTTGGGACGCTTAGAAACATTCATAGTTTTTTCTCTAATCACACCAACAACTGTAATCTCATTTACTTATACAAGACAGCTTTCTCTTAAAAAACAAACCATCATCTGAATATTTACAATGTCTGTGTGATGCTACACTCCCCGTTATAGCGCGAGTAACCATGACCGTCCGAAAACCTGTATCCGACAATACCAGTGAATAGGATATTTTATTGTGTTTCCTGCTCCGAATGAGGTCGAACTCAGTCTCCGTGATACATCTGCCGATGACACAAATACAGTTTAGAATCCACACAGATGTAGTGTTTAGGAAATAAATGTCAACCTGCGATCCTGGTTTTTCTAGTGTGTTGTATCTGAATCTTCATGTGATAGCTAGTCTACTCAACAACCATTCACCAGATATTCTCCACCATAGTTTTGTTTTGAGTCCAGGGAGCCACTATAGAATATGTCCGCCACCATTTTCATTCCAGGATCCAAAGGCAAAATAGAGTTAAGGTTAACCAACCCTAACCCTAACACAACTAACCCTAAGGTTTTGGTTTGTTTGTTGTTTAACGCCGCACTCAGCAGTATTCCAGCTATATGACGGCGGTCTGTAAATAATCGAGTCTGGACCAGACATTCCAGTGATTGACATCATGATCATCGACCCACGAAATTGGGATCCATGACATGCATCAACCAAGTCAGCGAGCCTGACCACCCAATCCTGTTTGTCTCCTCCTACGACAAGCATAGTCGCATTATACAGTAAGCATAGGTTGCTAAAGACCTATTCTACCCCGGATCTTCATGGGTCACTAACCCTAAGGATCAAAGAGGCATGTATGTATTTACCGTAACTGTATAATTATTATCAAGATATATCTAGTTTTTTCAGTTTTTGTGATAGTATTTGGTGGTGAACAGATTCTATAATTTCACCGACTAATACCCTACCCACCAAACACCAACCATGCACTTCTGGTGTCCCCTGCTGTGAATATTGCCAACAGCAAGCGTAAGAACCAAACTCATTCACTCACACACACACACACACACACACACACACACACACACACACACACACACACACACACACACACACACACACACACACACACACACACACACACACACACACACACACACACACACACACACACACACACACACACACCAACCATGCACAGCACTCTTCATCAAAGGGTTCCCTAATATTTTAGGTCAAGTTTCTAAAACAGAAGTGACTTGTGTAGTGTGTTGTTTTTTCTGTAGTTCCTGATGTCCCATTTCAACTTCGAGAGTCTGCTGTCAGAGGTGACCAAGATGGATGGCCCCATCCCTAATGCTCCGATGATGAGGTGGCAGCGGAAGGCCCTGGAAAGTGGACTCAGGGTGAACGTTCCCGACCAGGGTATGGAAGCTGTTAATACCCTGTGATCAGCAGGGATTTGCCTGGGTCAGAGCTCCAGATCAGATGCATATTTGTGTAAATGTGCAAAATATGTGACCATCACCCAATTAATTTTGAGTTGCTTACGTACAAATACAGGCGAGACATACCTGTATTTCTTTACAGATGTTCATTTACTGATGGAATGAAGTCATCACACATACATCATGTTGCATGAACTCTACTGCTGTGAATAATGCATGAAAAAGTGCTATGGTCTGCTTATGGCTCATTATTTAGACATGTATATTGCTGTTGCGAATTTATGCCACATGATACACACTTGGGGCAGCACACAAACAGACAAATTAGAAGTCTTCTTTCACACAGAAAACCCAGGAACACAAAAACATACAATTCTAAGTAATAAACTAACTTGTCTCACCTGTAAATGACCACCTCAGTGGTCTAGTGGATAGAGCCTTTGCCCATGGAGCGGAAGGTCGTGGGTTCGATTGTTGGGCTGCGTCATACTGAAAAGTTAAAAGATGGTACTTGTTGTTATCCTGCCTGGCGTTTGGCATTACGGTTATAATACAAGGGCTGATCAGAGTCAGTATGCTGTTTCTGAGTGGGGTATTCATGTGTAACTGCGGCATAGTATCTTCAATAATCTTCAACTGCCTTTCAAGTCAGCTCACCTCACCCATTAGTCTGTTGGTTGGTTGTTGGTTGGTTGGTTTGTTGTTTTACGCCGCACTCAGCAATATTCCAGCAAAAAGATGGCGGTCTGTAAATAATCAAGTCTGGACCAGACAATCCAGTGATTGACATCATGAGCATCGATCCATGCAATTTGGATTGATGACATGCATCAACCAAGTCGGCGAGCCTGACCACCTGATCCTGTTAGTCGCCTTTAATTGACAAGCAAAGTTGCCTTTTACAGCAAGCATGGGTTGCTGAAGACCTATTCTAACCTGGATCTTCACGGGTCCTATTAGTCTGTACAAGTATGAGCAGCCACATACACACAACACACTCAACACATACACACCCATGCACGTCACGTTATACCTGTGAAGATCCGGGTTAAGATAGATCTTCAGCAACTCATGCTGTAAAAGGCGACTATGCTTGTCGTAAGAGGTGACTATCTGGATCGGGTTGTTAGGCTCGCTGACTTGGTTGATGCATGTCATCATATCCAAATTGCGTGGATCCATGCTCATGATATCAATCATTGGATTGTCTGGTCTAGGCTCAATTATTTACAGACCGCCATCATATAGCTGGAATATTGCTGAGTGTGGCATTGAACGACAAACGACACACTACGTTAAACCAAATTTCACCTCACCTCACCTCACCACCTGTTGATATTGGGTGTTAGGGTAAACTAGTGGTTAAAGCGTTCGCTCGTCACGCCGAAGACCCGGGTTCGATTCCCGACATGGGTACAATGTGTGAAGCCCATTTGTGGTGTCCCCCGCTGTGATATTGCTGGAATATTGCTAAAAGCGTCGTAAAACCAAACTCACTCACTCACCTGTTGATATTACTGAACACAGGTGTGTTTCAATGGCTGTTCATGTTTCTGTACGTTTGTTTTAATTTCATCATAACACTTGAAATGATTTTGTCCAAATCCCCTCAATTTTGTCAAAATTTGTCATTCCCTAATGCTGTCAGGGGCACAGCTGATCAGATTGTCTAAGGCACTGCAATTAACTGTGCAGTGTCTCTTTGGCATGCTAGAATCTATGATCGTGGTTTTGAATCCCATATTCAACTTAACCAAGTTTCTGTGTCAGCACCATGCTCATGGGTTTCACCAAAGTGGTAAATGTCCTGCATCGCTTCGGGTTTTCCTCATACATTAAGCTGACACCTCGTGATATCACTGGAATACTGTTCAAAGCGGCATTAAACCCAACTCATTCACTCAACATCCAAGAATGTGAACCAGTCAGAATCTCTCTGTTGTAGCACTACTATCACCATGGAAACAAAGACTGTCTCGAACCCCAGGGAAGACCCCCAAGACGCCGAGCAGCGGGAAAATGACCCCCTTTACCACCCTCACTCCTGGGAAGACACCGGGCAAGTCCAGCACCACACTCACATCGAAGACGCCTAATAAGAAGACGCCAAAAACTCCAAAGCACGGAGTGCAAGACAGGTATAATTTGCAGGACTCGAAAATGTTCTTAAACCCTTACGTCCCGCTGGGTGATAGATATTATTTTGTACTCGTCCTGCGATATTTTTACTAGACCTATTAATTTTTATAAAGTTTTATGTTCTCAGTTTTTATTATCATTTTCTGTAATTGACCTTTGAGTTTGGAGTTGTTTCAAGAGACGTTCAAAATAATTCGGTCACTACCATCACTCTGCCCGTTAGACTCATTCAACTGTTTGTTTTCGTTTCTTACTGTCATTCTCGTCTTGAAAAGAAATCCTCCTCTTTGTCCTATTTGGTAAGGCTAAAAAAATATTCTTGGTTGTCAGGCACCGCCGCATCATCACATAGTCTGTCGCATGTTTCTTTTTTTTTTCCATTTTCAAAAAAAAAATCCTTAAATATTCCGCGTCTCGAACACACGACCTCAAAAGAGAAATGCTACAATATGTAAAAACAATGCGATTCAATATAACGTGCAGTTACTTCCCTTTTCATGCGCACTGCTTTACTGCGCATCTTGTGTGTTGTGGTCATGCCGGCAATAGGAGTTTGTGTACTTGTTTTGCTGTTTGCAAATTTGGTCAAAGAAAACATGAAATTTACAATAAAACATCACTAGACATCATGATTTACAAATTCACTGGTATTTGTGTTCTGAATGCGGGACAATCTTTTATGCGCAGAGGTTAAGATTTACAATTATATGAGTATTTGTCTCGTAAAATAAGCGGGAAATGCTAATTTATATACCCCGTCTGTAAAGCGAATCGGAATGAAGCACATCACCAGACCATACACAATTCCTACATTTGCAATAAAACCGTGTTTGTCTTCCGCAGAAAAAAATAACATCGTATCCCTTCAGCGAATTCAGGGAAGAGAATAGATTATAACACTTAAACTTGGCCAATACAAATTTGATATTTGAGATTTAACATCACTAGACATGATGATTTACCGATTAAATTGTATTTCCTGTTGTGATTGGCATTGTTTTATGTGAAGCGCTTAAGATTACCGTGTGTCTTGTCTCATAAATTAAGCCGGAAGTGGGGGGCCACGGGTGGCCCAGTCGTCTAAGGCGCCGTGCAGAGTTGCGTCCCTTGGGCACGCCAGAAACCTATGATTGTGGGTTCGCTCCGATTTTGTTTCTAGGTTTGTCATTACCATACCCGTGCTTGTTGGTTTCACCGAAGTGGTAAACGTCTGAGACCTGCATCACTTCGGTCTTTCCTCCAACATTAAGCTGACACGCCGTGATATAACTGTAATACTGTTAAAAGCGGCGTTAAGCCCAACTCACTCACTCACTAAGCCGGAAGTAGCAATTAGCTGTACACACAGTTCTTGGAATCTACTGGTAATTTGGTCAAACATTACCTAATAATACAACTTTAAAGAATTTTTGATACAATGAGTGGAAGAATTGTATATGAAACTTTTATTGTATCAGGAATAATTTATTCCAATATCATGTTAGTTGCAGCTTTACTATATGTATGTGAAATAAATTAATAACCATAAGCGTAGCACTTTGGTTCAGCCAGATATTTTCTCGTATGGAAGAATTTGACCAATCACCGTCGATGCTCATGCGCCCACGATTGCGAAAACTTTATATTGACATATGATAGTCAAACTACAACAAATATGACTTTCAGCGGTTCAATGTATGGCATTTATGATATATATATATATCCATTATCTATCCACTAAAGTTCGCTTCAAGGCATCAAAAGCGATAATATGACCGTGGTTGCTGTAAATAACGGTAATCAAATTAATTGAAATAATATTTAATATTGAATGAAATGTTGAATAAATTAGATTACAAACATAAGTCCAGATATATTATGATCTCTTTTACAACCAGACATGATTAATTTGCGTACTTCAGTATGGATTTGTTGACATACCGGTGTTAAGTGCTCATCACAGTAATGTCTTTGTGTTGGGGATTAAACTCTTCAACCCTGTGTATAAAAACGCCTCCCCCCCCTTGAATGTGTCCTAATTCTAGTTATTAAAAATTCGCCTTATACACAGTGATATATTGATTTGGATTCTTACTAGTTTGTACACAACTCAAAACAAAAAAAAAGCCACCCGCCAGCACGATATTTTCAAAAGCTATTGCCTGAGAACCAATTTCCCCATCAAACCCACCATCTCTATGTTAAAGTGAAAGAATCTAGCCCCATTTCACTTTAACTCAACTCCTAAAGAAAGGATGGGAAAAATTCCTTTAATGCTTAATCAGGACTTCACGATCACATAACACCATTAGCCTCACAGTTAGGTATATTTTGTAGCTTATCCTGCATTTACCGCTAACTTTTGACAGAAGACAAAGCTATAAAAAAAGCTATTAAATTGGTTTATCCCATATATCAAACAAGAGTCAGTTGGATGGACTTATGCTTTTGTGGCTCATCTTTAGGTTCATCCCAAACCGCTCGACGACCGATATGGACATGGGTCACTACGCCGTGATGAACAATGAGAACGATGTTGACCAGACTGAGAACACCTACAGACAACAACTCAACGACACCCTGGCCGGAGGACGGAAACCAAAGGAGTGCAACATTCTCTCTTACACCAACAAGGCCCCACAGGCGAAGGAAGGTAGGCAAAACACAAGGCCAGAAATATTCTCTCTTACACCATCAAGGCCCCACAGGCGAAGGAAGGTAGGCAAAACATAGGTGAGAAATATTCTCTCTTACAGCAGAAAGGCCCCACATGTGAACAAAGCTAGGCAAAACACAAGGCGAGAAATATTCTCTCTTACACCATAAAGGCCCGACATGTTTAGGAAGGTAGGCAAAACACAAGGCCAGAAATATTCTCTCTTACACCAACAAGGCCCCACAGGCGAAGGAAGGTAGGCAAAACACAAGGCGAGAAATATTCTCTCTTACACCATAAAGGCCCGACATGTTTAGGAAGGTAGGCAAAACACAAGGCGAGAAACATTCTCTCTTACACCAACAAGGCCCCACCACAGGCGAAGGAAGGTAGGCAAAACACAAGGCGAGAAATATTCTCTCTTACACAAACTAGGCCCCACAGGCGAAGGAAGGTAGGCAAAACACAAGGCGAGAAATATTCTCTTACACCAACAAGGCCCCACAGGCGAAGGAAGGTAGGCAAAATACAAGGCGAGAAATATTCTCTCTTACACAAACTAGTCCCCACAGGCGAAGGAAGGTAGGCAAAACACAAGGCGAGAAATATTCTCTCTTACACAAACTAGTCCCCACAGGCGAAGGAAGGTAGGCAAAACACAAGGCCAGAAATATTCTCTTACACCAACAAGGCCCCACAGGCGAAGGAAGGTAGGCAAAATACAAGGCGAGAAATATTCTCTCTTACACAAACTAGTCCCCACAGGCGAAGGAAGGTAGGCAAAACACAAGGCGAGAAATATTCTCTCTTACACAAACTAGTCCCCACAGGCGAAGGAAGGTAGGCAAAACACAAGGCCAGAAATATTCTCTTACACCAACAAGGCCCCACAGGCGAAGGAAGGTAGGCAAAACACAAGGCCAGAAATATTCTCTTACACCAACAAGGCCCCACAGGCGAAGGAAGGTAGGCAAAACACAAGGCGAGAAATATTCTCTCTTACACAAACTAGTCCCCACAGGCGAAGGAAGGTAGGCAAAACACAAGGCCAGAAATATTCTCTTACACCAACAAGGCCCCACAGGCGAAGGAAGGTAGGCAAAACACAAGGCGAGAAATACTCTCTTACACCAACAAGACCCCAGAGGCAAAGGAAGGTAGGCAAAACACAAGGCCAGAAATATTCTCTCTTACAGCAAGCAGGTGCGATGGGGTAGCCTAGTGGTTTAAGCATTCAGAAGGCCCGGGGTTCTATTACCCACATGTGTAAAGCCCATTTCTGGTGTCCCCTGACATGAAATTGGTGGAATATTGTTAAAAGCGGAGTCAAACTATACTCATTCTTACACCAACAAGGCCCCACAGACAATGACAAGGAGAGCAATATCCTCTCTTGCACCAACTTGGCTCACAGACTAGACTAAGTGTTTGAGTTTTGTACAAACCATCCTCATCAGTATTCTTGGTCAGAATCAATCCCAGCAGCTCCGGCTTGTCATAAGAGCCTAACAGTCTTAGGATTGATAAATCAACCACTGGTTGATCTGTCCATGACATGATTATTTTCAAGGTTATGTGACATGGCTGGAATACTACTGAGTGTAGCATGAAACACCATTTACTCTTTGATGAACTGGCATCATTGGATACAGATACCACACGCTGTAGTACAAGCCTTAACATGAGACTGCCACAGTGTTCTAGTGGATAGAACCTCTGCCCGGAAAGCAGAAGGTCACTGGTTCTATTCCTGGCCACGTCAACCAAAAGCCATTAAAAATTTGGTACCTGGCGCTCAGCATTAAGGGGCTAAAACAAGGACTGGTTGGCTCAGAGTCAGTATACTGTGTCTGAGTGGGGTATCTATGTTAAACTGCGGCATGGTATCTCAGGGGGCTAGCATTAGTCAGGTCTTGGACAGGCAGCCACACACACAGGCATGCACGTCGCAGCGTAAGCTATGAGAATCTAACCCGTGAAGATCCGGGGTAGAATAGGTCTTCAGCAACCCATGCTTGCCGTAAAAGGTGACTATGCTTGTAGTAAGAGACAACTAACATGATCGGGTGATCAGGCTTGCTGACTTGGTTGATGCACGTCATCGTATCCCATGTTGATGCATGTCATCGTTAGGTGTGCACAATCCCAATTGTGTGGATGGATGCTCATGATGTCAGTCACTGGATTGTCTGATCCAGACTTGATTATTAACAGACCACCTTCATATAGCTGGAATATTGCTGAGTGCAGCGTTACACAACAAACAAACAAACATATAAGAATCTAATAAGTAATATATTATAAAATGATCATAATGTAATAGGGTGGTCGGGTAGCCTAGTGGTTAAAAAGCGTTCGATCGTCACGCCGAAGACCCGGGTTCAATTCCCGACATGGGTACAATGTGTGAAGCCCATTTCTGGTGTCCCCCGCCTTGATATTGCTGGAATATTGCTAAAAGCGGCGTAAAACCATACTCACTCATAATGTAATATATATAATCTTGAACACCATCTCACCTCTCCTTAGTGTGAAGTACTTTGTATCACAACTTCCTCTATTGCCAGGACACATGAACAGTCTTTCCGTCCTCTACAGCACCAACAAGCGTCTACAAGCTCGATCCATTGCTACCAGATACATTGCTAAAGAACCTGAGCGAATCCTTGACGCTCCTGACATGATGGATGATTACTGTGAGTACATGGTGTCTGTGATTACAGTGATAAAAAATAGGGAAATCTTTGAACCCACCATCATCAGATCCTAGTATCACAAAGGGAGGCAACTGTGCTCAGCAATGTGTGTAATATTGTATCCTCAGATACCCACCGTCAAACTATTGAAAACAATGCAGTCTACTGATTCAATCAAGATAATAATAGATTGGTTTGCTGTATATGTTATCGTTTTTATCCGTTGGCTTTATACTGCCGGGAACCCAATTATATGATACATATATGTACATTATGTACATCTGACGTATAGCCCCGTGAAGATCAGGGGTAGAATAGGTCTTCAGCCACCCATGCTTGCCATAAAAGGCGACAATGCTTGTCGTAAAAGGCGACTAACGGGATCGGGTGGTCACTGGATTGTCTGGTCCATACTTGATTACTTACTGACAGTCGTCATATAGCTGGAATATTGCAGGGTATGGCGTTAAACAACAAACAAACATACAATCAAGATAATTATAGATTTATTTGTGCTTGCCGTGTATTTTTCCTTCCTATCTTGTTTACTACAAATGTTGAACTTTCTGAATTGTTCATGTCAGTGATTTTACAATGTTTGACAGATCATGACAATGTTTGACAGATCATGAGGATGTTAGACTGATCATGAAGATGTTTGACTGTTCATAAAGATGTTCATCTGATCATGACGATGTTTGACTCATGATGATGTTTGACTGATCATGAAGATGTCTGCCTCATTATGAAGATGTTTGACTAATCATGAAGATGTTTGACAGATCATGACAATGTTTGGCTGATAAAGACATGAAATCACATCACGTTATTGATCCTTATCTGGAAATCGTCAACACTGTTTCAACCATCTTCAATTATTTGGTGCATCATACATCTGTTCAATTACTATATCCTAGCTACTGTGTCCATGCGATTTGTATTTAGAATAATGTCTCCAATGTAAATGTGAATTGCCAAGAAACATAAATAAATACTTTATCAGTGGGGGAAAATATCAAAAGTCGATGACTCGAGAAAAACAAAAATGTGTTTCACCCGAGATAATTAAGGGGCACTGACCATTTGATAGTCTGGTTCAGGTTGTATTTGAAAATGTGTTGTTGTTTTTTCAAATTTGGGGGCTAAAAGCAGAAGGCCCCACCCTAGAATTATCCCTGATGCTTGCAGGCTAGGTATTCAAAAAACAATATGTATAATCTGTTCCCCAAAACTGCTTGAAATAATATTATTTGTCCCGAAGTCCTCATGAAAAGAAGTTGTTTTAAAGCAAATGTCTCAACCAAGTCATGATGTCAGTCACTGGATTGTCTGACTTGATGATATACTGACCACTGTCATATAGCAGGAATATTGCTGAGTGCAACAGTCAACAGCAAACAGTTAACTGAAAATTACTCATCTAAAATAATCTTCCAGACCGGGATTTTTTTTATTGATCAGCCCCTAACAATGATCATTGGTTAATGCTTTCAGACTTGAACCTACTTGACTGGTCGAACACCAACCTCTTGGCTGTATGTCTTGGCAGCGCCCTCTACCTCTGGAATGCCACCAACAGTTCCATCTCCCACCTGTTCCGGCTGTCCACACCCGACTTGTACATATCTAGCGTTGGCTGGATAAAGGAGGGCAATGTCCTGGCGGTGGGGATCAACAATGGTGCAGTGCAGGTACGTGGAGGAGAGGAGGGTGTTTTCCAGGGAGGCGGTCCGTGGGTTATTTGCAGTGAGATACTGGTTGGTAATGGGTAGAGATATGCAACTTCCTATCGACAAGACTGCACTGGTGCACGACACTACTTTGATACTAGAAGTCATGCCAGAGTAACGCTGTGAGTTGAGTCTTGTTTCAGCTGACACCAGAGTAAAGCTGTGGGTTGGGTCTTGTGTGCCGGCTGACACCAGAGTAAAGCTGTGGGTTGTGTCTTGTGTGTCAACTGACACCAGAGTAAAGCTGTGAGTTGTGTCTTGTGTTTCAGCTGACACCAGAGTAAAGCTGTGAGTTGTGTCTTGTGTTTCAGCTGACACCAGAGTAAAGCTGTGAGTTGTGTCTTGTGTTTCAGCTGACACCAGAGTAAAGCTGTGAGTTGTGTCTTGTGTTTCAGCTGACACCAGAGTAAAGCTGTGGGTTGTGTCTTGTGTTTCAGCTGACACCAGAGTAAAGCTGTGAGTTGTGTCTTGTGTTTCAGCTGACACCAGAGTAAAGCTGTGAGTTGTGTCTTGTGTTTCAGCTGACACCAGAGTAAAGCTGTGAGTTGTGTCTTGTGTTTCAGCTGTGGGACACCACCAAAGAGAAGTTGATCCGGACCATGGGCGGCCATGCGGCCCGAGTTGGTGCACTGAGCTGGAACTCCTACATCCTCTCCAGGTGAGGACATTCATGGATACAAGTACAATTAGCACATAGTATAATTTGCTGTGAACATTTTTTACTTTTGCTGCCAATGTATCGATGACATTATGCTGACTTCAAGCGACCAGTCCATGTTTTAGCCCATTAATGCCAAACGCCTGGCAGGATTACAAGAGGTACCATATTTCAATGTCTGTTTGTTTGACAAGGCCAAGGATAAAAAGTACCGATTGTCACTCTCCCGGGACACACTATATGCGCTACACTACGGAGGGCACACTTGTTACAGACTTTGACCTAACAGGGTGAATCATGCTATGCTACGAGGGCCGTTCAATAAGTTTTGCAACTTGGGCATTTGTGTTTACACAAACAATGTCAACTTGTGGCAGGTGTGACACCAGATATAACACCAGGTTGACACGTGTCATAACAAGTTCCAGACACAACAATAAGTTAGATGTGATGGCTTCATTCTCTTAAGGGTGGTCACAACTGTTGGAACCATTATTCATGAGCCTCTTGGTATGTCCAAGGTATCTGCAAGATAGGTACCTGGAAACCTCAGAGCTCAAGATCGCATAAGAGAACTGAAAGTTGTCGAGACCTCCTGGATCTCTTTACTGCTGATGAAGCCGGATTTCTTTCTCATCTAGTGACAGGTGATGAAACATGGATCCACCACTGGGACCCAGAAATTAAATTAGAATCCATGCAATGGAAGCACCCCAATTCTCCGCCTCCGTGGAAGTTTCGCACTCAACCATCGGCTGGCAAGGTAATGGCCACCATATTTTGGGATGCAAGAGGCATATTACTGATTGATTACATGCCACCAAAATCTATAATCAATGGACAGTATTATGCTAATGTTATGAAAGAATTGCGAAAATCTATTCGCCAGAAACGCCATGGGATGTTAACAAGTGGTATTCTACTTTTGCATGACAACGCTCCGGTTCACAAGTCGAGAATTGCCCAAGCGGCCATATGTGAATGTGGATTCGAACAGTTAAATCACCCACCCTACAGCCTTGACTAAGCCCCCAGTGACTATTTCCTGTTCCGGCAAATGAAATCTGCCCTATGTGGAACACGCTTCCAGGATGAAGAGGACGTAAAGGCTGCCACAGAGGCGTGGTCAGAGGGCCAATCTGCGGATTTCTTTAAAAGTGGTATTAAAAGCTTGAAGGACAAATGGAATAAGTGTATTGAGGTGAATGAAGATTATATTGAAAATAAAAGTGCAAAAGATAATCTGTGACTTGGTCTTATTTTGAAGTTGCAAAACTTATTGATCGCCCCTCATATCAACATCTGGTGGTCTGTTCCAGGGTTAGTTATCATTAACATACTACTGAGTAATGAATATCTTGAGATCCCAGTTTAACAGAATTCATTGACATAAGGAAACTGTTGCAGTGGGAGTCGAACAGGTGCCATCCATCACCACGACGTGCGTGCGGCTGAACACACAGTGGGATCCCTACACAACCACAGCCAGGAGGTGTGTGGCCTCAAGTGGTCAGGGGACGGTCGATACCTCGCCAGTGGCGGCAATGACAACCTCCTTAACATCTGGGATACAACCCTCGGCACTGACGTCAGTCCCCTACATGTCCTCACCGACCACCAAGCTGCTGTCAAGGTCAGTCTACCCACCACTGTCAAGGTCAGTTTTGTGGCAAGCATGACTTGCTGAAGACCTGTTCTAACCCGGGTCCCAACATATCAGGATGACGTTGGTGGATTGATCTAAAAATGTGGTAAGAGTAGGTTGACTGTAACCTTGTCCTATGTGCGACCAGATATTTGATAGGGATAGTGTCCAGATTGGAGACAAATCTGACTGGATGTTTGGAATGGAGCATCTTCCCGAGGCAAGGAAGTTAACTGTCTACAAAATTCCAGTTTCCATCCTTGCTGAAGTAGGCTGGAAATTCTGACCTCGGTCGTAACCCCACCAGTGGCCATTACGAGTTATGTCCCTTTTATTGACGATTCCAGCCAGCATATCACTTGTATTTGCTTCAAACAAAATGGCAGGGCCCAGTCAAGTAGATCTGATCGATAATCAAAATCATTTTTGTAAAATTATTTCGCAAAGTGCATCCAATGAGCACCTTGATTAAAAATAGGATAAGATTTGGAAAATATCTGTTGCGCCGATTTGGTGGCGCATGCTTTGCAAGTCCTGCAATCGACCGAAATCTACACGGCACGGGCAGGTAGCCTAGTGGTTAAAAAGCGTTCGCTTGTTCAGTTAAAGACTGGGGTTCGATTCCTGACATGGGTACAATGTGTGAAGCCCATTTTTGTGTGCCCCGCCATGATATTGCTGGAATATTACTAAAAGCGGCGTAAAACCAAACTCACTCACTCCCACTCATCTGTAGAGGCTTTATGGTCTTCAGCAATGAAGTCCCCGCAAACAGCGACCATGCATATAGTGTCCCTGAACTTTTATTCTGCTCATCTCTGACTTGTGCAGCTGTGTTGTCGGTTCAAGGATCTTCTTTTGGATGTTGTCGATCGTTCATCTTCTCTCCTGGCTCGCTTCATTCAGTCGAGTGTGTCTGATAAGACAAAACGTTAGAAGAGGTGCCGAGCTTGTGCCGAGCTTGTGCCGCTATGGTCCTTGGGACATAGTGATGTAACAGTCTTGTAGAATCGCTCGGCTTGAGCCCCCTTCCAAACCGATTGCCAGTCGTATATGCAGTATCGACACTAGGCTGTGTTTCAAATATCTTTTTTTTTATTTCACTATTTAGAACTGGCTTGTACCATGCTTTTAATCAAGGTGATCAAATGATTTGATGTACATTCACAAGGTAAGACCCGTTTTATTACAATATAGATCTTGATTATCAAGCAGATCATCTTCACTGGGCGCCCCCATTTTGTTTGAAGCAAATGCAAGTGATATGAGAGGTGGAATCTGATTGGTCAGTAGGAGGGACATAGAAGGGACACAACTTGCAATGGTCACTTGCGGTGCTACAATTGTGCCCCAAAATTCCAACGTAGTTGGGCAAGGGGGGGGAACTAGGCTTTTGTAGTCGGAATCCTCCTTTTGCCTCGGGAAGATGGCTCCGCCTGGACACTCACAATATCCCTGTCATATGTTGAGTGGTATAGTACCAAATTCATCATAGCTGATCTTTTTTCCCTGTAGGCACTGGCATGGTGTCCATGGCAACCTCATCTACTGGCCAGTGGTGGCGGAACAGCTGACCGCCACATCCGATTCTGGAATGTAACAACAGGGGCTTGTCTGGCCTCGACAGACACAAACTCCCAGGTCAGTGTTGTATAACAGTCATGCCAGAATTCCTCGGGGGGTTCGTAACCTGGATATCTTTGAGAAGTGTCCAGATTATTGTTATTTTCTGTGTTTCCTTTCTCCGCTACCCTGTATTTCCATTCTGTCGTGAGATGATGAAGGAGTTTATCTTATTGTTCTGCCCTCTGTATAAATGTATGCCCCGATGTGATAAAAAGAAATACTTCTACCATTGCACCCACATGAACAACCCAGGTCAGCTTGATCCTTCTCAAGCTACAGTATATCTATTTACAATTATTTCAGGTGTTTGTGTTATATGGAAAATTTTTAATCAAGTAATGGCCAAGTGAAATCAATCTCATTAAATCAGATCTTAGTTTTCACTACCACTAAACAAAGATCTGAGGACATCCCATTACAGGTCACGTCAGAACGACCTTTCGCGAATTTTGACCAACCAATGAAATGACTGACAAGAAAACTACATTAGCCAATCAGAAGGCAGCTTTCTCGAGCTTTACCACACTAGTTTCAAACTGGCGACTACGCTTCGAAACATATTTTGACGTATTCTCGATTAAAAAAATGAAAACTGATTAAACGGCTTATAGGTGGCCTAGATTGTATGGATATAATCATAAAACCTGTAACTGTCGTTCGGAATTCCCCATGTTAAATATTTCATGGTTGCTTGATTAGAAAACACATTCTGACTGTCACTTTCATGATCTGTTAAGCAACGCTCTGATTGGTTGGATGAAAGGTCCTTCTGACGTGACCCTTAATGGGATGTCCTCAGATCTTTGTTTAGCGATAGCGAGAAATAAGATCAGATTTTAATGAGATTGAAGTATACTTCACTTTCGTATTATTGCTTACCAAGAGTGCATGTCTGTATGTTTGCACTGCTGATCTTCAGATTCACTTCAATAAGCTGTACTAGTCATAGATAAGTTTATCATAAAAACGCCTGCCACAAGTCCAAGAGATGAAAAAGTAGGACATTCATTAACACTAACCTTTAAAATTTGCAGAATTGTGTGTACAATTATCAAAAATTGTTTACAGAAATTTCTAAAAATTATCCATAGAATAATTGTTTTCCCTTAATTTTTAAAATATATATCTAGAGTCTATATGATAATAATGCAGGATAAGTATACAAATATAAAAAATATCTAGGAATTTTGTTGTTTTAAAAAAAGATTTTAAATTTTTTTTGGCGTAATACAGCCGGGACAGTCACATTACTGGTTACACTTATAACAAGCCTCACTGTGTTCTGTTGTCAGGTGTGCTCCATGCTGTGGTCGAAGGAGTACAAAGAGCTGATCTCAGGGCATGGATACTCACAGAACCAGCTCTCTATCTGGAAATATCCCAACATGGACAAGCTGGTGGACCTGACAGGTACGTTGACCTTGAACCAGCGGTCTAGTTGGAAGTTTCCTAACATTCTAGTAGACATTGGCACTGGGCCTATAGCCCTTGCCAAACTGCCCAATGGTTTAGACATCATAAGGACTAGTAGAAATTTGCCATTTTAAGGATTTTGCTCAATCTCATTATTATTAGGACTAGTGGACTAAATCTTAGTTTCTATCGCTGGAAGGCAGCTCTCAGAACCAGCTAATCATTTGTCTAGATTAAATAAGACATTTTGGACAAGCATGGCTGGGAAACATCACAGGAAAGCAGCTCCCAGAACCAGCTGTCTGTTTGTCTGTCTGTCTGTGGTGAAGGGAATCCGTAAACGTATGGCCAGATAACATTGCATAAGATAAGAAAAGACAGTTCTTATTAATATTTAAAACAAGTAATAACTTGTTATTCAGGGTTAGAATTGATCCCCTGCAACCTATGCAAGAGGATCTCGTGGTCAGCCTCGTGATTTTGTTGACTGCATGTCAACGTACCTGATGATTTGGATTGTTTCTGATAAGATCAATCTCTGGATTGTCTAGTCCAGAATTATATATTAACAGGGAATATCGATGGAAGAGGGCAGAGTGCAGCATTAAAGGCTTGAAGGCAAAACACTAACACACAAAAAACCCACATTAATAAACATAAATAACCAATCAGAATATAATAAATGAAAGACTACAAAAATAGATACGAAGGTTGCCCTCCTTACACCTTGTGTCTGTTCCAGGTCACTCCGCCCGTGTGTTGTGCTTGACAATGTCCCCAGACAACCAGATTGTGGCAAGTGCTGCAGCAGACGAAACCATCCGCATCTGGAAGTGCTTCGCTTCCGACAAACAACGGAAAAGTTCCGTGTCCAAAGGGCCAACCAAGGACGGTCCGGGTCTCAGCGTCTTGCGATCAGGGATTAGGTGAAGTGCTCGGTGTACCATGTAGGATTCCATTTATGTGCTACCAAAAAAATCCACAACATGAACTTATGACAAATTGTATGTTCTTATTCATACATACATGACTTACATTTCTTCAAAGATTTACAACAGGATGGGCAATCCATGATCCAGATCTTGGACCAGTTCATGGTCCGTTGATCAAGTAGCCATGTTGTTAATGCGTTTGCTAATGATGCAGATAACCCAGTCTATTCCAAAATATGGATACAATGTGTGAAACCCCTTTTCTATGTGCCACACCATGACATGGCTGGATTTTTGCTATATTTGGCATCAAACCTTACTCACTCACTCACGGTATGGGGACAGATAGTGAACCTTGCCTCAAATGTGTGGTAGCACAACTTCCATATTGAGGCTCGAAATGGCTTTTCGCTGTGATATTACTGGAATAAGGCTAAAAGCAGCATAAAAACAATACTCACTTACTGAAATGGCCTTTGATTTGCTATCCAGGATTTGAAAATCCTGAATTAACCTGGAAATGCCTTAAGATAAATAAGATGTCTTGTATAGGCCTTGAATTGGAATCTGCTTCCGTTCTTGGAGAATTTGCAAACAAGCTTGAGTAGGTGTTTAACCATGTAGTTCATCCTTGAAAAAGACTTTATTTTGTATCTACCTTTAAAAGGCGAGGCCTTGGCAACAACCTTGGTGAACTCTGTGACATGAGTACATCCTACTCAAAAGAAGTTAAGGACCACGCGATTCTTTAATAGTACTATGACATGACAGATTCACTGTAGAAATATGAAAGAATTGGATGGACCTCTTTTGAGTAACATATTTCAATTAATTTTCTCCAATGCGTGATGACGTCATGTAGCAAACAAATCATGAATTTCATTGAAATAATAATTGAATATATTAGTTGTGTAATTGGGCATTCTGACAATGAAATGAGGTGGCCATGTCCTTTACAAGCACACTTGGGTCATAAGTTGTGACTCTTAAAAAAGTGTGAATCCTTTGAGTGCTGTTGACTGGTTCCATACTAAGCATCCGATGTCTGTAGTTTGTCTCATCTGTAGATTGTGAGTATGAATTCAATAATGAAATACAATATATCAAAACACAGCTGTGATTCTGAGGAAAAATCAAATGAAATGTGTCTAGTCTTGGTACTGAATGTTTTTTCTCAAGCAGCTTATTGACTTGGAGTTCTAGCAAGTCATTCCAGTGTCGTATACCGCCGCTCTTGAATTCATGCCATTCCCATTTACACCATCAGACCTCATTTACCTGTGATTCCATCCTCATCCCATCCTCATCCCATCCTCATCCCTAATCCTTCCATGAGAACATTTATGCACTCAAGCATCATTTGTACATGTTATATTTATATTTTCTTTTTCAGCATGTGCTTCGTATGTCTGCCCAATACTTGTGTTGTGATTTTACTGGTTTGTTTGTCATTTTCTTTGACATATTAGTTGTGTAGAAGTTTCAGGGGTTGTGAACATGCGTCATGCTATAACTGGGTTATTCCTGCCGCTGCTGTTCTACTGCAGCCAGACATTTCTCCCCAGGTTTTCAGGTTGATCTACTACATGTATACAAGTTGGGAGGATGGGAATGTAATTAATAACACCAATGTCGGTTCATGTCATCGGAATATATTGCTCGTTCCTCTTAATGTTTCACATATTGTGTGCAGTTTTAGGGGGGTGAACAAGTTTGTGACAGGCAAAAAAAAGAACGAAATGGTGCTGTATGATTATTTTGCCCAATTTTACTTTGTTTACGGTCAGTGGGTCAGTAGTCATTTACAAAATGATGTTCTGTGAACACAATCATTTAATAAAAATCCTGTTTCAGTGTAAATGTTTCAGCCCTGGGCCAATGTTGAACACAAATGAAAATGCATCAGAATGTTGGTAATATAAAAAAACAAACTGCTTCAGAATATTTCTTCTTTCATAGTGGGCACGAGTGGTCCTGTCGTCTAAGGTGTCACAACTGTCTGCCAAGGTGTGTCTCATAGGCGTGCCTGAAACCGATGCTCATGGGCTCAAATCTCAGTTTCACCCTGGTTATTGTTCTCGGTTGTCAGCATCTTCCGTGCTCGTGGGTTTCACCAAAGTGGTAATCGTCTAAGACCAGCATCACTTTGGCCTTTCCTCCCACATCAAGCTGACACACCTCAATATGACAGACATATTCTTCAAAGCAGCGTTTAACCGAACTACTCACTCATTCCTTCTTTCAGATGTATCAGTCCCAGCACAACTGACATCAACCTAATTATATCAGGGTATTTACATTTTTAGATATCAGTTTACTGATCCTTGAACCGTAAAATACAATAAAAGTTGAAAATAATGTGAACAGCAAAATTCCACTGGAATGCTGCTTGGTACTGGTCCATCAGCCTGCTGACCCACTGGCCTGTGTCAAGTGTGTTGTTGGTCGAGGGCCAGTAGAACATCAGGCTTGTGGGTATTGTTCTATTGCATCACTAGTCAGGCTGGTAAATGTTCTAGGTTGCGTTACATCCCTATACTACTTGTATGTAACATGACCTCATAAAATCTACATACATTACCTTAAACAGTGACATCGACATTACAGGTTTTACAACATTAAACATGTGCATTTAACCTTTCAAAACCATAAATGTCCCATCGTTTGTCCCATCAAAGAACCAGATGTTTCAATGCAGAAGAATCTGTTAACAAATATGGTAACATTGTCTGTCTTTATCAATACATAGACAGTGATCATGGAAATGAGCATAATGACAGATGCAGAGCATACTCATCCATGGGGATGAAATTGTAAATATGACAATATTTGGACCCATGATAATGTTCATCTTTTATTAATGAGGGATACTTGTTTTTCCAGCTGTGAACATAGAGACAAACGATGTGAGATTAAAGTAAATCCTATTCAGATATAGTAACGTTTATGTGGTTGCTAGAATAGGGTTTGGTTGTCTGGAACCCCTGAAACTTGATAACATGATGCTGTGAGATGAAACTATTTTACTGTTTTCAAGCATAACCAATGTATGTGTTCATTCTGATCTCAAGTCAAATAAACCAACATCGTCTTTCAGTCAGTGTTGTTTGTCTGTGGTGAACAAAGTGGTGAACAAAACATTCTTCCTGGTCAGACCTGTGAAGATTCCGGGGTAGAATAGGTCTTCAGCAACCCATGCTTGCATTAAAAGGCGACTATGCTTGTCGTAAAAGGCAACTAACGGGATCGGGTGGTCAGGCTCGCTGACTTGGTTGATGCATGCCATCGTATCCCAATTGCGTGGATCGATGTTCATGTCAATTGCTGGATTGTCTGGTCCAGAAGATTATTTACAGACCGCAGTCAGATAGCTGTAATATTGCGGAGTGCGGCGTTAAACAACAAACAAACATTTTCACACTCACTAAATACAGTCAGCAATATTCAAGTCATATCATGACGACCTGTAAATAATCGCATCTGGAACATTCCAATAGTGGTGGACAAGACGAGTCAATTTCTTCAATATAGAAGCCAATGGCCCAAAATACAAACCTATAGAAGTTACATGACTATCTACAATATATTATATACTAGAAGAAAGTACTTAAGGGTGCCATTAGTAGTTTTCTTTGTATGTGGTAGACAAATACATGCACAGACATATACACCATTTTGCACAGACACATAAATGTAGTATTCTTGGAGAGTATGTACATTAAGTGGTATTGAACATATTTCTTTTTTTTTTAACTTTAAGTAGGTATAAACTGATCATTTCTTGTTTGTGTATATTGAGTATTCATTTTAATATCTATGAATAGGTTTACTGTACTGTCATATCTGATGTATTTACTGATATACTTTATTTCTGATAGAGGTATATGTATCACAGTAAGAAATTAATTTCATCTGTTCATTTTGTCAACAAACACTGTCCCACGATGGAGCCTGACCTCCGTCCAACGATGGAGCCTGACCTCCGTCCCACGATGGAGCCTGACCACCGTCCCACGATGGAGCCTGACCTCCGTCCCACGATGGAGCCTGACCTCCGTCCCACGATGGAGCCTGACCTCCGTCCCACCATGGAGCCTGACCTCCGTCCAACGATGGAGCCTGACCTCCGTCCAACGATGGAGCTTGACCTCCCTCCCACGATAGAGCCTGACCTCCGTCCCACGATGGAGCCTGACCTCCGTCCCACGATGGAGCCTGAACTCCGTCCCACAATGGAGCCTGACCACCATCCCACGATGGAGCTTGGCCACCGTCCCACGATGGAGCTTGACCACCGTCCCACGATGGAGCTTGGCCACCGTCCCACGATGGAGCTTGACCACCGTCCCACGATGGAGCTTGACCACCGTCCAACGATAGAGCTTGGCCACCGTCCCACGATGGAGCTTGACCACCGTCCAACGATGGAGCCTGACCTCCGTCCCACGATGGAGCCTGACCTTGGACGCCAAATATGTCACTTATCTCAAAGTGCAATGATCATGAGCTGGATGTCAAACATCTCACCTCGCCTCACCAGGGTGGCTGTTCTTATCTCCCCCTTCTGGATGAATAAAGTGAGGAGTCGGGTGGAGAGATTTTACGAGCGCTCTCTCCTGTGCGGGAGTCCACTGGTGGAAGTTTGCACCTGATAAAGGTTCAGCATCACTCCTTTGTATTGAAGCGGAAGAACGTGTAATTGTGCTTCATATACAGTTCCTTAAAAATTAATTTATTCTGAAATGAAGTGATGCATCTTTCAATACTTACTCATGAAAACATCTTGAATTTAAGGTCGTGATTCACAATTTGCTTGTGCCTGTTCGCAATTTTGATGTTTGCTTGTTTGTTGGGAGCATGATATTCACACAGGTGTTTTTTAGCCTGAACATGAATTTAATCGTAGATATAGCTTACGCATTGCCACGTCTTGCTTAAGCTCAACGCCAAGCGCCGTTGGTATGCTACAAACTGGAATGGCGCAAAACGAAGTTGCCAGACATAATTTCATCGAAACACAATATAATCTCAGGCGAAGTTACCTGCCGAATCAACAGCAGTTCAACACTCGTGCACGTATGACGTCACTTCAATACAACCATTTTCGGTTGGTGCATCTACGGAATCGACACCAAACTGCAACAATAACAGGCCAATTAGTGATGGTAGTGGGAGCACAACATCCGTCCCCGATACGCCCAAATTTGCTTCCACGTCCACCGTCAGGCCCGCCTAGCTTGGTGATGACAGCATACTGTTACAGTATACTATACCCAGATGAGTCCAGTGTTCATCTGGACATTTGCTTGTCGCTCAAGGGTCTACATGTATCCAGAAAAAACCGTTTCAGCTACATCAGTTTGGGTGTTAAAGTGTAATGATATGGGGAGGCAGCACACCTCATGGGAGAACAGGGACACGGGTGGCCCAGTCGCCTAAGGCGCCGCGATTCGCTGTGCAGAGTTGCGTCCCTTTGGCTCGCCAGAAACCTATGATTGTGGGTTCGAATGCCGGTTCGCCCTGAGTATGCTTCTAGGTTTGTCAGCACCATACCCGTGCTCGTGGGTTTCGCCTAAGTGGTAAACGTCTGTATCACTTCAGGCTTTCCTCCCACATTAAGCTGACACGCCGTCATATAACTGGAATACTGTTAAAAGAGGGGTTAAACCCAACCCACTCACGCGAGAAGACAACTCATCATTGTTAATGGCAAGTTGAATAGCGTACGCCGCCAGGACGAGATCATGTTCTGCTCTTTGTTCAAGTGCAGGGACGGAGTGTTAAGATGCTGAAGGATAATGCCACATGCTGCTCGTGTTGTAACAGACCTCTCCCCCTCAGATAATGTTCAGGGGAACGACGCCAGCTTCAGGAGACACCCGGTAGCGCCAGCTGAGTTTGGTCAATCTTTGATTGACACTGAACAACATACCCCAGCCTGTTTTCAATCATCAGATGTCAATGCGTGAAGACCTGGGATAGAATAGGTCTTCAGCAACTTATGAATGTCTCAAGACGCGACTATGCTTGTCGCAAGAGGCGACTAACGGGATCGGCTGGCCAGGCTCGCTGACTTGGTTGATGCATGTATTCCAATTGCGTGGATCGATGCTCATGATGTCAATCATTAGATTGTCTAGTCCAGATTCGATTGTTGATAGACTGACGTCTTACAGCTGAAATATTGCAGTGTTTAACTAACAAACACGCTGCATTTCCATAATGAAACAGTCAATATACGTGATAAACAACGATGGGAGAAATTCTACAGTTTATTTATATCACAGGCATTGTCATAATGCGCAATACACATTACTTATATTTACATTCAGTGGACATACATTGTTTTTGATGACCAAAATGCATTTTCATGTAAACACTTTCGTACACTTAATAAATCAGGAAATACCAATAATGTCGTATTTTCTTTGATTTTAAGCGAAAATGATGTGAAGCTACAATTCGCTCTGCAGATTTGGATCATGCCAAATATAAAGTTTGTTCCAGTTACAATCCTTGGTCGTGGTTTTACCATAGTAATAAATATGTTCAATCTGCGTCGTTTGAGGCTTTCTTCTTTTAAACAGGGGCACGGGTGGCCCAGTCGTCTAAGGCGCCGCGATTCGCTGTGCAGAGTTGCGTCCCTTGGGCACGCCAGAAACCTATGATTGTGGGTTCGAATCCCGGTTCGCCCCGATTATGTTTCTAGGTTTGTCAGCACCATACCCGTGCTCGTGGGTTTCACCGAAGTGGTAAACGTCTGAAACCTGCATCACTTCGGGCTTTCCTCCCACATTAAGCTGACACGCCGTGATATAACTTGAATAGTGTTAAAAGCGGCGTTAAATCCAACTCACTCACTCACTCACTCTTCTTTTAAACATCAAGTGGATCGTCATTGTTTAACTGATATAAGTTGTGTTCAGGTTTGGAAAACGTGTAATGATGAAATAAAGATTCCAACAAAAACAGTGTTCAGTATGCTGGTGTTAAAAGCATCTCTCACTCACTCACTCACTCACTCACAGCAGATTCATGTATCCGGGGAAATAGCTGACATGGGGAACATATTGAATGCATTGAATACTAATTAACCTGTTTGTTCTACATGCTGATGTCACCCGTGAATATCCGGTACACAAAATGTCTTCAGCAACCCATGCCAGTCGTAAGGGCTTTCATCCTACACCACATGTGTACTGTTCAAACATGTAAAACCGCCCCACTCATTGTAGCTGAGCGTCAGGCACACAGCTTGCATACTCCAGTCAACAAATGTTTACTTTTGGTGATCCGGGGTAGAATAGGTCTTCCGAAACCCATGCTTGCTGTTCAAGGTGACTTACTTGTCGTAAGAGGCGACTAAGAACCTGTTTTTAACCATCTGGTATCGTCAATGCGTGAATAGGCGTTAGAATAGGCCTTCAGCAACTCATGCACATCTTCCCGAGGCAAGAGAGTTAACTGACTTTAAAAGTCCAGTGGAAACTGGACTTTTATAGTCAGTAAACTCACTTGCCTGGGGGAGATGCTCATGCATGTCTCAAGACGAGACTATTCTTGTAAGAGGCGACTAACGGAGGATCAGGCTCACTGACTTGGTTGATGCATGTCATCGTATGTCAATTGCATGATCGATGCTCATGATGTCAATCACTGGATTGTCTGATCCAGACTCGATTATTTACAGACCGCCGTCATGTAGCTGGAATATTGCTGAGTACGGCTTAAACAGCAAACAAACAAAGACTTGCTGAAGTTGAAAGCATGTCATCTTCCGGTCTGGTCCATTCTGTATCCTCTATTGTAGGAATATTTCTAACATATGGAAATACGTTAACCTTGTTTCCTTGTATTAAAAAAACTGTCATGGGGTTTCGAAAGGTTTCAAATTCATTCGTTAATTTGGAGTTACAATCAGCATGGCTACAATGACAGTAAAACAGCATATTTGAACACAACTTCAATCAATCTTTGTTGTCTTCGAGAGCAACACAAAAGTTTGATGTCGAAAAGCCCCTCTGATCGTTATATTGATAGTCTGAGTGAGGGAGTACGGCTTTCCGCCGGTCTTAGCAATATTCAAGCAATATCACAGCTGGAGATACCAGAAACAGGCTTCACACAATCCTGGCACCCATGTGGGGAATCGAACCACTTGGTTACCCCACTGCCCCAGTTTTACGTTTGGAAAACGGACTATGGTTGCAATGCTTTTGCATATAAAAAAACCATGTCAGGGTAAATTACGAATAATTATTGAGAGCAATGTTGTTTGCGGCTATGGAAATATGAAGTCGATAGTAAGGCACCACTGGTACCACTGTTCATTCGCATATTGTGGAACCTCGTGAAAAACACGTCCCGTGAACACGCCCGGATTAACGAATGTCCAGATTGATGGATTATGGAGTGGTGTCATAGGGTGTACACGGAAGCGGAGGTGACTGACGGGAATATTTGCTCAGGCTCGCTGACCTGGTTGATACACGTGTCATCTCATCCCAGTTGCGTCGCTCATGACTTTAATCACTCTATTGTCTGGCCCTGAACTGAAGGGGTCAAGTTCAACATCGGCATGTGTTCAAGTTACATCACCTGTCGCATGACTGATCCATCTAATCAAGATCCGCAATATTTTGTTGGTTATTGCCCCAGGGTACTCAATGTCCAGAGGAATGTTTGTTTGGGTTTTTTTAATCCAAAGGCGAATCATCGGAGAGCGATGCTCATGATGTCAATCACTAGTTTCTCTGGTCCAGATTCTATTATTTACAGATCATATACTAAAAGTACTGCTGAGGGCAACAAACATTGACGCGTTCCGAGCAGTAATGGTCAGTTTTCCGGATTAGCGGGGTCAAGACTGTAGAGGTTTTACTTTATCACACAACACAGTCGCACGTTGGTGTGCGTAAGGTTGTAGGCACTGACGCCCCACCACAACCACATTCATTCTGCATCCCCCCTAGTCTTAACGCTACGTATTCGTCACCGAAACACTTGCTGTCTTTACACTTGGAATGGGGTAAGCACGGGTGTGTGTTTCGCTCCCATCCTTTTCTTATTTTGGACACGTATTTGTTCACGCAAGGCATGGTGAGGATCAGTTTCATGACAAACACAGTCATTGGCAGTATCAGACACAGAAACGTGATGGAACCAAACGCCTTGGGAAACCCTTTCTTCATCCAACCAGGGACTCCCATCACCATCACGTGACAAATAGAAAGACACAGTACAGTATAGCCGAGCGTTGATTGGACAAAACGCCACTCGCGCCAGTTCAAGGAATCCCCGACAGAGGGCAGTGTGGTGGTTGCTAGGAGACAAAGTAGGATGAAGGCGATGATACCGACAAGACACGCGGCCTCGCCCTTCCATATCATCCATGTCTTCATAGGAAGGTGAAGGTCGTCTGTTAGATTCCCTGGTACTGTTATAGCGGTGGACTGAAACCATGAACTGTAGTAGGTCGGACTCATCAACAGGATGGATATTAGCACATGAGCGAACACTAGAACGAAACAAATTATACCTAATTGTTTTCTTGATTTCAACCAGTAATCCATCCATCTGGGAAAACGTTGATGTTTTGTTCCGTAAACTATCTGCACAAAACCCGCAATACACCCAGGCATGTAGGTCAAGGCCATTAACGTAATGGCGGTCATGCAGAGCGGTTTGTTGAACACTTTTACAAAAATCTGATCCCATCTATACGCCGTCCTGTCTATGAAATAGATGTATGTGATGTATAAACACCACAAATTGAATATTGCAAACGTCAGGAATATTGGTACCTTCCATCCTGGAAACAATCGCAGAACAAACGCCTCAATTCTACGCGCCGACTTCAAACCGCCGAAGTCCACAGGCGCAAAACCCATATCACGCGCAATATTGCACACTTCATCGCGCGCAGTGACGTCATTTCCGGCGACGAAAACCTTTCTACTTCCGCCAGCGATGTCGTTTTCCATGATGTAGGCGGAAATAATGTTGAAGGCTTTGACGATTTTTGCTTTTGGTAGAAAGGTCATCAAATACTCCGAGTTGGACACATGACCACATATGTTTTCTCTGTTGGATACATCAATGACAATTTTATCAGTGAACATTTCCCCCAAGGGTGAAAATGTATCTTTGAAGTTCTCCACGTGAACCGAAATAAAGACGACCTTACACAAGCGCACACATTCTTTGACACTTGTAAGCCGAACGTCACACAAGCATTCGTCATATTCCGACAGTTGCCGGTACTCGGGTCTTCGGCTGCCGATGATGACGTCATAGCCGGAAAAGATCAACCGTTTTGCAAGAGCTCTGCCGAAGTTTCCAGTTCCGATGATGCCAACTGTCTTGGAACTTTCTTTGTCTTCCCCTTGCATCTTGTCTTCAGATGAGTTGGTTCTTGCAATCATCTGAATCGGAAAAAGAGTACATGATACAAGGGAAGACTGAGAATATGGACAAAGGTTACGCATCCCTTACTTATGTTTGTCATCAACCATTTGCGAAGATGTGAAGATAATTTTTTGGATATACTGTGAAAAAGACTTGTTCAGCTGTCTTTAGAAAAACAAGTGTATGTTTGAAATATCTACAGCCTTATAAATCACACCCCCCCCCCCCCCCCCCCCCCCCCCCCCCAAGGGTTTCGGCAAAGTTTTAAACGTCTAACGCCTTCGGGCATTGTTCCTACGTCAAGTTGACGCGCTGTGGCGAATTAAAGATTAAAGTACAGTTGAAGGCGGCGTCAAACCAAACTCATTTTGCATATTTTGCGTAAATAAACCCTAAATGGATAGCGAACATCAAATAACAAAACCCCGGATATGACAGATGTTATCCACACAGTCGTGTTATTGAAATTCCTAGAGTAACGGATATTGGCGCCGGATCAGATAAACATCTGTGTTTCAATAACACCGCAATCAAATCCTGACACGCACCATACACTTACAGACAAAGGTACCTGTCATCATAGGAGTGCACGGAAACTGCAGCTCTATAGTTATGGTCGAGTTGGATAACATACGGCTGATCAATATTTTGTGTATATAACACGTCACTTAGTATCCATTACTGTGTAATAGGGTAATAAAGCAAAGGTTGTATTGTGTACTAGTATTTAGCCACACCTCAAATTTCCTATCCTCTTAAAGTGATTTCAAATGATGATTGGAAACGGGCCGACATAATTAAAGCAAAAAATACAACACATGGAAACGAACCATTCCAGTTATGAAAATGTATATCTTAATTAAAAAAATATAGCTTCATGAGTAATGTCGAATAAAAAATTACCATGGATTACGTTTACATCACACTGCAATTATCCTGGAATGTTAGTGCTTGTTTGTGTATAATGTCACCGCACCACAAATAACCACTTCGTATATGTAGGGAGCCTGTATAACAATTAAATAACTCCGTGATACATGTTTGAATTAATGACTCACGTGTACCGAACAAAATAACATAATTATGGCGCACATTTTTGTACAATACAACCGAGCAAAAAGCATGACATTCAAATTAAAACTAAAATGACGAATAATGTCACCACAATGCTTACCTTGCTAAACGCACAGTCGTTACCTCAGTGAAATCACGTTCACATTAAAATTACATCACTACTAGATGATGCTGACCTAGGTGTAACGGAACAAACCGACTATCCGAATGGCCTCACTGATGAGGATCGCGACTTTGTATCCACAGGATGGACAGACAGGCAAGTCGATGTATCAGGTGGCGAGTTCACACCGATGTACTACAACAACACCAGCCCGATCTCCGACAAGGAACAACTTAAGTGTTCATGACGAGAAATAGCTACTTCCTGGTCACCTCTTATGCGACAGGGCCGAAGGGGACGCCACGTTATAAACAAGCCCGTCCCTGATTGGAGAATCCGGTATTGGTGTTCAGCGAAGTATTCAATTGAAAACACACACACGTCATACATGTACGCCTCTGGCGGTTATTTCCAAAGGGGTGCGACAATGAGAAGTGCTTCATCATTCACCTATAGTATTAACTGCGGAAATGTTCGTTTTCCTGTGTAACTTAACGTGTACGTTTATGTGTATATTTTGTGATTAGAATTGCATGATACAATATGTGGCAAGTAAATTTAATATTTATCTCCGGGATGTCACACAGTGACACATTTTTTTTGTTCAGGTATTCCATACGTTTTGTTATGTATAGTTTATTGTTATTTTAGTTGGAGTCAACTACATGACTAGACTAGCCCTCAGAGTTTGTATCTGTTTAATATGCTTAATTTGTACCAAAAATTGGAGCCCCGAGAACTGAAATCAGAATCACAGGCTTCAGATGCTACTGGTCAGTGGGGACTACCATCACTGTATTTTTAGTTGTCCTCAGCACTATTTAGAAGTCTTGAGACAAACGATTGGACTAACGTACAGTTCCTATAACAGGCTGTATAAATATGCTGAACTTGTTGTTCATCAGTCCATTGTTATGGTAACCTTCACATACAGTAAATTATGACAACAGAAAATGGGATATTAAAACTGAGGCATATTTCTATTCCATGGGGTTCCACCTCAGAAACACTTTTTGTAGAACAATCAATGGCACGCACTTTAAACATGTGGATATTTTGCAGTGACTGAACAAGTTCTACAAATCCATAAAATATATATTAATCTCAAAACGATTTTACTTATAGATTTAAGTTTACAAACATACAGAATTATACACAAATATACAGAATCATACACAAACATACACAAACATACACAATCATACACAAACATACACAAACATACAGAATTATACACAAACATACACAATCATACACAAGCATACAAAATCATACACAAACATACAGAATCATACACAATCATACACAAACATACAAAATCATACACAAACATACAGAATCATACACAAACATACACAATCATACACAAACATACAAAATCATACACAAACATAAAGAATCATACACAAACATACACAATCATACAATAACATACACAAACATACACAATCATACACAAACATACAAAATCATACACAAACATACACAACATACAGAATCGCACATATACATACAGAATTACACAGACATAAATACTCGTACAGAAACATACAGAATGATACACAAACATACACAACATACAGAATCACACATATACATAAAGAATTATACACAGACATAAACACTCGTACACAAACACAGAATCACACAGAGACATACGCAGACATACACACTCGTACACAAACACAGAATCACACAGAGACATACGCAGACATAAACACTCGTACACAAACACAGAATCACACAGAGACATACGCAGACATAAACACTCGTACACAAACACAGAATCACACAGAGACATACGCAGACATAAACACTCGTACACAAACACAGAATCACACAGAGAAATACGCAGACATAAACACTCGTACACAAACACAGAGACATACGCAGACATAAACACTCGTACACAAACACAGAATCACACAGAGACATACGCAGACATAAACACTCGTACACAAACACAGAATCACACAGAGACATACGCAGACATAAACACTCGTACACAAACACAGAATCACACAGAGACATACGCAGACATAAACACTCGTACACAAACACAGAATCACACAGAGACATACGCTGACATAAACACTCGTACACAAACACAGAATCATACAGAGACATACGCTGACATAAACACTCGCACACAAACACAGAATCACACAGAGACATACGCAGACATAAACACTCGTACACAAACACAGAATCACACAGAGACATACGCAGACATACACACTCGTACACAAACACAGAATCACACAGAGACATACGCAGACATAAACACTCGTACACAAACACAGAATCACACAGAGAAATACGCAGACATAAACACTCGTACACAAACACAGAGACATACGCAGACATAAACACTCGTACACAAACACAGAATCACACAGAGACATACGCAGACATAAACACTCGTACACAAACACAGAATCACACAGAGACATACGCAGACATAAACACTCGTACACAAACACAGAATCACACAGAGACATACGCAGACATAAACACTCGTACACAAACACAGAATCACACAGAGACATACGCAGACATAAACACTCGTACACAAACACAGAATCACACAGAGACATACGCTGACATAAACACCCGTACACAAACACAGAATCATACAGAGACATACGCTGACATAAACACTCGCACACAAACACAGAATCACACAGAGACATACGCAGACATAAACACTCGTACACAAACACAGAATCACACAGAGACATACGCAGACATACACACTCGTACACAAACACAGAATCACACAGAGACATACGCAGACATACACCTACATGAAGAATCATCGAAGCAATCGGAACAACAACATGAATCAAGATAACATTGTTTTTTATCTCGAACAATAGCAGATTATGCAGTTGTATGGACTGTGTCAGGACGCTTTGCATGATAATATTCTCCTTGCCGCACAGACAAGGTCCGTGTTGTCTGTGTGTACACACAGAGACACTGGAACAATAACACAACATAAGATAAGATTGTACTTAACCATATATGGACAGTGTTATCAATGCGAGCAATCAGTCCGATAAACGTGGCATCACGAGTTGATAAATATGCACGGGAGCTGACCCTACAAAAATACTTTTAATAAGCTCCGTTCCTCGATGTGATGTCCATTGCTCGTAAAGCGAGTGATGAGAGGGTGTTTTCCCGCGGTGTGACTGCTTTTGTAAACATGGCTTCAAGTCACGTGGCACTGAATAACACAAATACTCAGGTATCACAATCCTACGTGATTTCTAAACTTACGTTTGTGAATGAAATATGACGTTCATTCATTCATTCATTCATTCATTCATTCATTCGTACATTCATTCATTCATTCATATTATACTTTCTAGTTGCATTAGCCTTCATTTCCATTGTGTGCATTACCATACAAATACAGTAAACTACGCTTATAACGAACTGACGGATATAACGAACTTACTTTTTTGGTCCAGACTATTTGCTGTAGTTATGCTGTATATATGCTTAAAACGAACTACGGTTATAACGAACTATAATTAGTAGTCCCCTTGAGTTCGTTATAACCGTACTTCACTGTACACTGAAATGCAATTCCTCCATAGAAATGTGAATAAAATGTTTCTTTGAAAAATACAAAAAATGCTGGAACACAATAAATTTACTCCAGTTATAAGACACAAGTATGGGATGTTTGGAACCGACTGGAGCAGTATTCAAGGTAAAGACGAGCTAACACTTTAACCACTATTCCCATAAACTTTACACTGCCACCGCTGACGACGAACGACCACTTTAACGTTTTGTATTCACTTGAGTCAGTGTTCTGACAGACAACAACTGGTAATTACAGCCTTCTGTAACAAGACAATCGCCTTCTTTATAGTTTAAATATATTCCCTGTCAAATTAAAATTAGAATTTCCCCTAAGGCAGACAATATTTCTTTTTAATTGCCTTTCCAAACTCTAAACCCTCTATCCAGGAAATGCATGCTGAATTCTTATTGTTTGTTGTAACATATCCCATCAAACTTAAGGAGCGGTTGTAATTTAAAGCCGCAAACCCGGCCTTCCTGTGGTTCGGGGCGCTGTGCACGTTATTGAGAATGATTGATCAATGTGGTGAATCACACACCGTGTTGTGTGGATGCTGTGACGTCAACGTCGGTGAATGTGCTGTTGGCGACAAATAAAGCCGTGAAGAGTGAGTGAGTGAGTGAATTTGGTTAAGGCCGCTTTTAACACCATTATAGTTAGATCACGGGGTGTCAGCTTAGAGTGGGGGAAAGTACAGATCTAGAAGTGATATAGGTCTTAGATGTTTACGACTTTGATTAAACCGACGAACACGGGTATGGTGCGGATAAAACATGGTATCCCCAATTGCGTAGATCGATGCTTATGACATCAATCACTGAGTTATATGGTCTAGACGTTCAACATCGCCGTGTTTAAGTTACATCACCTTCCCATCTAATCAATGTCCGGGATAGTGTGTTGATCATTGCCTCGGGTTATTCAATTTAACTGCTCTGTAAGGAGCAGAACAAGTGTTTTTTTAAATCCAAAGGCAAAACATCAAAGACAGATGCTCATGATGTCAATCACTGGATTCTCTGGCCAGACTCGATTATTTACAGATCACATACCAAAGGTACTGCTGAGGGCGGTGATAAAACAACAAACACGGACGCTTTCCTAGCAGTAATGATCAGGTTTCCGGATTAGCGGGGTCAGGACTATAGAGATTTTACTTTATCACACAACACAGTCGTACAGTGTGGGTAAAGATGTTGACGCTTGTCCCTCTACAGATCAATGCCATATAGCTGGAATATACCCAAATACGGCAAACAAAACAAGCAACTAAAAAAATCCAAGCATTGAAAAACCATTTTCAAAGTTACTATCATTTTCAGATACTGCCATTAACGGTTGTGTTCCTCCAGATAACACCGACATTCCAAAGGTAAATATGTAAGCCCTACAATTTCGTCTACAATCACACAGCTATCTTAAACACGCTGCATACTATTGTGGTTATTTAACCAACACACAGTATGACATTACTGACCTACATTCAACGGAGGGGTTCAAGCCGACCTAGAGTCAGCACTCGATAACCTATTTTTTTTGTTTACTGGAGAAGCGCAAAAAATGGCACGGACCTGAAGGTACAAAGTGTCTATTTCACATGACATATATACATCATCTAGTCTCTGAAATGAACATATTTTACAGAAAAAGCAGCTGTTAATTATACTATAAAATATAACCAAAAGAAAGCCACGAGACTTTCGTCATTTTCTG